TACCTACAGAATTTCATTGCGGACGTGTGGCGTTTAAAGTCTATATGGACATTACCAAGGTCTTTCAAAAAGACACTCTTAAAAGTGATATATTAATCTATTATATGATAAATAATGTGAAGGTATGCTATAAGGCCGTTCCAAAGGGCATTTCTTTGAAAATGAATAATTTTTTTTTTCAATTTTTTTGTAAAACTTAATGTCATAACAAACAGGTTTCATTATGTTATTTTCATTTCATAGGAAGAAGAAAAATAACAGTTACAAAGAACAAATTAGAAAAATAATGAGAACTTGAAATCAGATAAAAATGGTCTAGGTTGTATGATTAAAAAAAATACAGGTGTCATTACCATGTTGCAACTAATCTCTACGATTTGTCACAAAATCGATGTAATACTCGTTGTGTAAATACGGGTTGGCAAGTTTCCGAGTCGACTCGAGTCAAAGTCCGCACTAAGTCCAAGGTCTAAAGGAATTCAACTCTATATTGTTAGTTTTTGTCTATTTTTTTCTCATTTGCAAACGTCGTATGATGATAATCGCATGAGTGGAACTGTAATTTTTTGTCTTCAAACACGCCTCCGAAGATGAATAATTTGCAATAAGAATGAAGTGTCTGGTGACTAATGGCGGCAAAACTGAAAACTGCGAGTTTGAATTTCGAATGTGTCATTCGGATTGGGGTTTTTTACTCTATGCATGGTCAGATTTAGTCAGTCTGTATTTTTTTTTATTACGTGTCGAATTTTTTATTCGTCATTTGTTTAATTCAAAGAAGGTTGTGTTGCATTAGGTCGGTAGGTAGGTAGTTTTTTTTATTTTCTCGCCCTATCAAGTCTTGAAAACATTTTTTTTTGTTAACGTTTCTATATTGTAGTCTATTTCTAAACCGTGTCGTATCTGCATTGTAGTTCAGAGTTCAATTAGCAGTCAACCATTAAACATGCTAATTTCCTAGAGACGTTCCAACAATTACTTTGTTTTAGCAAAAACTGGATAAAGTACTGAAAAAAGTGTCTGAACTTTTTGTTCTAACCGATGAAGGAAGTGAATAAATTGGCGGGCCACCTAATATGCAACGAAGCTGAAACATTTTTTATGAGTACAACCTTGTTGGATTAATAGATTGGAGAAAAACGTTGCATAATGTTTAGAACACGCGATCTCAATTAAAGTACTGTTATCTTTAATATTTGAAGTATTTTAGTAATGAAAAGCCATGCCATGGTTTCGCTCTAATGAACTTAGAAGAATGAGGGCGAAAACAATATGAAATGAAGTAATTTAGAAATGATAAACAGTTGGACTGCTTATTGTGTTATAATGCGGTTTAGTTTGCTTTCAAATATTATGGTTGGGTAAACGTTCAATGCTATAAATATTCCGATTATGTATCCGATTAAGTTAGAAAGCATATACAATTTAATAACATGTTTAAAAATATTAAATATTGTACCTTTTATTTGAATAATAAAAAAAAACCGAAGAACAGTTTATTGAATAATAAAACCAAAAGAAAAAAAGAAATAAAACGATCGACATCAAAATTCGATCTTCGAAGCTGACCCAATCGAAATAATATTTGACCTATCCCGTCTCATCGTGAAAGAATGTACCAATTTAACCCATTAACATTCGTATGGAGTTCATTCATCGACTTATCAATTAAATCGCCATATTTGACAAGGGGGCCTTTTGTATCCACTATCTGTTCGCGATAAACTGACATTGCAGGTGGCCAGTATTAAGTAAAAGTAAAGTTCGTTCGTTTATTATCTGTGGTGCGCTGAATGAGTAATGGGTAATTCTGATAATATTTGAATTCAAAGAATGAATGTGATCTTTTCAAAATTCGTATTTTGTCGGTTAAACGTGTGTTTGCAAAACGTTATATTTGAGCTTGTGCATTGTGTCTCAAAATTCAATATTTTCCTGTTCCGTAGCCGTAGGAATTTCGTGAAATCCGTTCTTAGTCTCTTAAATACCTATATTCCTAAGAAACCTTCTATCATGTGCCTTCGAATTGTACCTATATTGACTGTGTTGTAGTTTGTAAGTCATTGAGTTTAGACATTTGGTCATTGGTAACTGAAGAGTTTAACCTATTGATAATATTTTATGGTTATAGAATAAAAAAAATTTCGTGACAAAGACACAAGAACATGGCTAAATTAAGGTTTAATTAGCTAAGTGAGCGTGAAAAATGATCAAATAGACCGACGTCTATTTAGGCTTATCCTTTTTAGTGTTCCTAATTGAAATCCTCACGTACATCCAACTGAAGATAAACGGGTCTTGACAAGTGGATCTCTTCGTAATTTCTTGCGTATGAAGTATCTACTTCGGGCACCAATGGCCAAATGAGCAGACCGGTTGAGTCAGTGATTAGCACCGCTCATTAATATATTGATACTATTGAGAGTGTGAAGAAAACGGGTCACTTGATCATACCTCAGTGATCAGCACCGCTCATTGACATATTTTGAAAATGTAAAGAAGAAAAAACGAGATATAAGGTACATCGCTGCCAGATAATATGTTGTATTTTGGGCACCTAAGTTAAAATTTGTTCATCAACTACCTATGGCAGTTTGCTTCTGAAAAGGGGCTACTGTCGCTCACCAAATGGACTTCATTTAACATCTCGTTTCATCCAGTTTAGTTAGTGTCATAGCATTGGTCAAGGTCAAGAATTTTCCATAGGTATTATCCACTCTCGGAAAGAGCATTATAGAAATTGCAGATTTATCAAGAAAATATTTTGTTTAAAAAATACTACATAATCAAAAACATTACCTACATCTAAGTCGTTACTTAGATAAAATACCTTTTCCATTATAAAATCCCAGTGGTGGGCAGTGAAGTGGACAACAAATGTACGCGTGTAGGCAGAATGGAGCATTGAGGAAATTTTAATGAAACATGACATAAATTCATATCTTTAGATGTTGGGTTAGTACAGACAGTTTTGGCAAGTCCTAAATCCAAGTTAGCAGTTAAATTAAGTAGATTAGCAAAAATACCTAATTTATGATTCTCTCTCGATAAATTAATTTAGTTATATTATTAATTAAGGTAGTGTAATTAAAACTAAAAGGGTACGATGGGGTTGGCATATCCATGTGGATAAAAACCCCAAAATAAATAAATAGAAAAAAAAAAAAAAAAATCATATCTATGAGAATTATTCATTGCGGTATATGGCATATATAAACTGCATGATGTTAGGTCATACACAGGTACACATAGGTAGGTCACGTCAGGTTTTTCTAGAAAAATTAGTACTAGTAATATTTGTTACCAAATTCAATTTTTTTTGTTAAAGGGGATTTTTTTTTTCATTTTTTTTTTGTGTTTTTCGCATAATTATGATATTGCGTGTATTATCGTTTGTATTTTAGAAAAGAACTCGTGTCGAAGACGCGGTGCCAGTAACAAGTTGTATAATATCTACTGTTCGGTATAAACTTGCTCGCAAAAAATTGCTCATCTTTTAATGAAAGAAAAAAACGAAGTATTATTACTGCATTTCTAACAAACGATACTTAATGACAAAAATAGCTAGATACAGTCACATTTATTATCGGATTAGTGCAACAATCTACAAACTTCGGGTGGCATTGCGAATTTATGGGGAAAAATGAAAAAAATTGGCATTTTATTGATAAAGTTGGATTATGGCGTTATCATTTATTTATCTACATTAATATTGCAATGGATTAACTGGACAGGACGTGGGTGTTAGGTGTTATAAGTGACAAAGGTTAGAAAAAATTAAAAAATACTAATGTTCTGGTTAAATAAACCTGCTTCTAATAAAAATGCAGTCAGAGAAGATTTTTTCTTACATATTGTACTGATAAAAATATGAAAAGTAAAAGTACATTTAATTAAGAACGCAATGAATGAAACCCTACTTTCGGAGCAAAAATTGGGTATTTTAATTGATAAAAAAAACCTTAAAAATACGGAGTGTGACGCAATTAACGAAAAAAACTACAAAAAAATTCAACTATTTTTTTCCTATAAAAATCCATACTATTCTTAAAGAATTCTTTACAGTTATAGCCCTACCGAGTACCGATTATGGCGTCACCCAGCCAGGTCATAATTAAAACAAAAGAAAAAATTAAATAAACACGGCAATGCACGGAACAATTACACTAGCGCTAGAGCTAGGCTACCTAATCGATTAGCTTTGACCTAATGTTGGCCTACACATAGAAACTATAGAATAAAATTGCCAACGAAATACAATAGAGAATAAAAATGTTAGATGTCTGTATGAATGTAGGTATGCTAACAGTAAACATAGGTAGGTGTGGCTGGAAACCTTGCTTGAACGAGTTTTCAGCATTATAGGACTACCTGAAGTGAATAGGTCTATGTTATACCTACGTAGTTTTTTTATGTTAGTAGGTAGATTCAAAAATAGAATTTAGGACAGGTTAGATAGAAATCGATTTTTTTTCTTCAGACAACATGTGAGGTAAATCGAAAAAAGGTGTAACGAAGTTTTGACGGAAAATTCTAATTGGATTCAAATTCTATGACAAAATTTACGAATACCGTCAAAAAAAATCTAAAATATTAAATTATTTTACAGGTACTTTTATTCCTCTCTTACTCCATTTTGGTTATATTTATTTATTTAAAAATGTAACAATTGAATAATGACGTACCAAAGATGTTAAATAAATTAAACAAAACGATGTCATAAAAGTGGGTAGATGGAATTTTATGTATTTGAATTTTAATACTGATTATTATAGGTAATTATCTACTTGAAGAAAATAATCTAAACGATATTATAAATCCTAAACCTGTACAAGAGCAGAAATAGAAAACATTTCGCCAAGTGAAATAAGTACAAAAAGGTGTAGTCTCGCGTCGCCTGACCGGCGCGGCAGCGTGGATATTCGACCGAGCCGGCCGGCATTCACCATCGATTTTTTCCTAGAAGTATTACAATGATAATACTGTACAAATCCACTCACCGATAGCCTTCATGAACTCGTCGAAGTTCTCCGAAGAGACCATCTTGTATTTCTTGCCGACGAATTCCATTTTTAAAATATAAAAATGCTTTTTAGTGATTTAAAAAATATGTGAGTCCGTACTACCGGTCGGAACTGGAATGAATAAACGCGGCAAACGGTACAACTGCTCGGCTCTGCGCATGCGTCAACGAACGAATGACTGAGCTGAACGGAACGAATGAAGTTATTGAACTGAATTGACCTTGACACCGCGCGCTGATTATATACTCTGTAGCGGGTGATATGGAGAGATGGAGGATGGTGTGAGTGAGCATGAAGCGAGATTTTCGAGCTACGACTTTGTTTGCTTTGCAAATTAGATTATACATATAAAGGAGATGATTACATGTCGTCTGTGGCTTAATCTGGAAATATTGGCAAAGCCAAATAAGTATTTTCGTAATCTTTATGAGAAAATTACACACTAATTGATACAATCAACATTAAACGTAATATGAGCGAGGAATAGGTACTTATGTGTAGCCCCTTGACTTTCTGCTCATTGTCCATGCCTCCTAGTAACAGTAGGACCATTGCAAAAATTATTGAACTAGTTACTCTCTATCCCCTTCTTTTCTCAACTAAAATAATATTCCCATCTCTTTCAAATATTTCTATTCACAAGCCCCTATAATTTTAGTCCCCGGATGAAGCCATTTCGTACAATAAATGCGATTGTTACGTACTTTAATTCCTTTTTTGTTATATTAAATGGGATATAAAAGAAAAATGAAGTCGGTTGATGATGTTTAAATTTCTTTATAACGGAGTATGGGAAAGTTGTGGAGCAATGAAGCATTATATTGTGGATTAATCTTCGACAGTGGACGAATTTAAATGTAGAAGGATAAAAAGATGTAGGTCGATCGAAGAATGAATGAATGAATGAAATGAATGGATTTCAAATAAAAAGTTTGTGATAGAAATTATGTCCGAAGGGAGAATGGACACAAAAGACATGTTGCGTCCACCCCAACTAAACAACTTAAGATAAAGGCCAGAATTCACCACCAGAAGAAGAAGACGAAACCTTATATACAGAGATGTTGTATTTTGAACCGATACGACCTTCAAACCTTCAAGAAAAGAGCGTATTCCTTTTTAGGAGGCCGGCAACGCACCTGTGACTCCTCTGGTGTTGCGTCCATAGGCGGCGCTGATCGCTTACCACCAGGTGATCCGTCTGCTCGTTTGCCTCCTATTCCATAAAAAAATTGCGTCTATCTATCTATTTAGATAAACAAAAATAAATTGCCGTTTATTAATCTCGTCAAAACTCGAGACCGGGGAACTGATTTTGCTAATTTTGGTCTTCAAATGTTCGTGGAAGTGCAGGGAAGGTTTAATAGGCGAGATGTAGGGTTGTCGTGTCAGCCAGTATTATATACAAATATACTGGTCTTTCTTTCTGTACTTATGTGTTTAAAAGTTGTAACTTCAATTAATTTCGAGACACAAGCTGCTTCTTGCTTCGCTGTACATTGCTCATATCACAAATTATAATTATTATCTACATGCAAAATAATAAATAGGTGTACGATTAATTTAATTTAGGTCAACCTTTCGACTTTGGACCTTCATTTTGAGATACTGAGTTTTTAATAGATTTATTGGCTTCCTGTAGATTTTACGGATATTGGATTTGACTTTGTAGATACGGATAATAAAGACACACACATTCATTCAAGTATTTTTTTTCGTCAGAAATATCTTGCTTATTGTGTTTAGTATTTTTTTTAATGGGAACAGCCCGCCACAATCCCCAAATACCGCTGCAACGCTGTAAACCAGAATCTACAGTAAGTAAGATAAAACCATGAAAACACCGAACACAGAATTGCGACTGGTATATCCAAAATAATAAATGTTCCATTAAATATTAAATATGAAGATATTTTAATTCAGAAGGTAACAAGAGCTGTGTGTTTAGCGCCTACCATTAAATTTTAAGCAATCGTTTACAGCGTAGGGATTTGTAGCACAGTGTGTTATAGGAGCTAGCAATAAAGCAGTTATTTAAAAATGTTTGCATATACTTCGTCTTTTGCTTGCGTTGTGGAAAAACATGATAATCATACTAGATCCTAGGTATATTTTAGAGGTAATTGCTAACAGGATTGATCTTGTTATACCTGGTTCGATGTTCATAGTTCTGACCAGTCAACCAACATCAAGGAACGGTAATAATGTCATATAATATAGGGTAGTTGCCTAAATTTTATTTTAATGTCCGTCTGGTAGATTGATTTAAAACATTAGATGCGTATTTTATCTTTTCTACTTTCAAAATTAAGTACTTTCGACGATATAATAATCTGAAATATCGTAAAGTGTTACAAAATGTAGCACTTTGTGACGTAACGACCTCCCATTGCTAAACTTAACTCCATTTTATCTAAGTATTCTAACGTTATACGAGAAAATAAAAAAAAATACGTGTCTAATATTTTTTCATTATCTAACTGACGGGCTAATTAGATTTTATGAACCCACACCCTATTAAAAACAAGTTGTATTATACCTGGTAAAGGCATGTATTAATTAAATTACTGTAACTATAAAATTAATCATTAAAATATATCCAAAACGTATAAACTATATATAATATATACCTAGGTACTCGCTTTCGAAATGGTTTTGGGTTTACAAATTAAGTATTTGACTTGGCTTGACGCGCTACCGTACTTTTAGATTTGATAAATTCAATCCTAATTATGGAAGGACATAATTTCGGAATCAACTTTAATAATGTTATCTTTATTAAAAGTATGGCTCGACCGGAGTGATACCTCGGTCCCATAGAAAACCAACGTGAAACAACGCTTGTTACAAGACAAGCGTTTTTCGCAACGCTTGTATCGTCATGTGAGTGAGGTTACCAGAGGCCCAATTATCCCCCTCCTCAATCTTTCCAATGCCCCCAATCCCCTTTTCCCCAAAAAACCTCAAATTTCTAAGCCCCAAAAGGCCGGTAACGCACTTGTAACACGTCTGGTGTTTCGGGTGTCCATGGACGGCGTCGATTGCTTACCATCAGGTGAGCAGTCAGCTCAATCCAAAAACATATGTATATATATATGTATGTCATAATATTTATTTGGAATTGAAATAAATCGCTGTGATATAGGTAAGGTATGGCATTGACGCCTTTTTTTTTTTTTTTTTTTTGGGGGGAAAATCATCGAATGACTGCCCCCGCCTGGGTGAGGCGGGAGGGAGTGTCAGACTCTTACTGACTAAAAACCACCCCGTTCCTACTCCTGCACTTCGAGCCGGAGCCCCGGCAACCCGTTAAGTCTTCCGCGGCTCCGTATCGGCGTCAGCCCTGTTAGGCCCCATCTGTGGTCTGATGGCTCCTTGAGGCGCGCGCGGAACGCGACGCGCCGTACGCTCGGGTCTGTTTCTGGTCGGACGGGGAGCCACCCATGCTCGCCGTCCGCAGGCCCGCGCTTACGGTGGCCGGAGATCGTCCCGCGATCCCCGACGCCCGGTGTGTCCTTCGCGATGGCTGGGTTGCGAGGAGGCAGCGCTTCGCTGCCTCACGCGTCCCGCCTCCTCCTTAGCTAGCATGACTGCTTCGCAAAAGGAGGAGACGGCATCCCAATCCCCCTCGCTCCGCATCATGGCCTGCACTAGGCCCGGACGCGAGAGGTCGCCATCGCCGATCACTTCCCTGAGGACACGGCGGTGCTCAGCCCACGAAGGGCATTCTCCCACCGTGTGTTCCACCGTGTCCTCAGGGCGGTCCTCGCAGTGATGACACCCGGGCGTTTCCTCCCGCCCCATCAGACACAGGTACCTCCCGAAACTTCCATGTCCGGTGAGGACCTGCGTCAGGCGGTAGGTGAGGACGCCGTAGCGTCTCTCAAGCCACTCCTCAAAGAGGGGACTTACCGCTGCGATGGCAGCGAGCCCAGCCCTCGGTTGCGACAGTCGTTGCTGCCATTCCGCCATGAGATCGCGCCGGAGCTCATCCCGCCACGCACTTATCTGGCGCGGCAGCGGAGTTTCGCCCCGGCGACGTGCCTCCGCGCGCATGCTGTGCACGCGCGCGAGCACCTTCGCCTCCAGATCCCACGGCGGTAATCCGGCAAGGAGGTTCGCCGACTCCCCAGAGATCGTGCGGTATCCGCGGATCATTCGGATCGCCATGACCCTCTGTGCCATGAGCAGCGTCCGAGCGGGACGCCGCAACAGGTTAGGCGCCCAAACAGGGGCGCCGTAGAGGGCCATGGACCGCACGACCCCGGCGTATAACCTCCGGCAGGAGGCGTTTGGCCCCCCGAGGTTGGGGAGGATGCGTTTAAACGCAGCCCCCGTCCTCTCCAACTTTGGAGCCAAACGTCGGAAGTGTTCAATGAAGTTCCACCGACTGTCGAGGACGAGTCCTAGGTACTTCATCGTCGTCTCGACGCCGATGGTAACTCCTCCCGCCGTTATTTGGGACCCACCCGGAGGTGGCGCGTTCCCGCGGCCATGAAAACACATGGCCTCGGACTTGTGGAGCGCCACCTCGAGTCCCAGTTGCCGGATTCTTTCAACGACTGTCGTAACCGCTCTCGCCGTTAAATTAGCCGCCGCCTGATGCGACCTCCCTTGTGCTAACACCAGTGTGTCGTCAGCGTAACAGACCACGCTGACGTTGTTCGGGAGGTCGGTGCGCAGCACCCAGTCATAGCCGATGTTCCACAGGAGCGGCCCCAAAACCGAACCCTGTGGAACACCGCGCGACGTCTCTCGCCGGTTCCACTCACCTCGGTGACCGGGGTAAATGACGGACCGTTCCGTCAGGTATGCCTCGATTACACGACGGAGATAGGTGGGCACCCGATGATATCGAAGTGCCTCCAAAATGCAGCTCCAGGGCAGGGAGTTGAAGGCATTGGCGATGTCCAAGGACACCGCCACTACGACCTTACCCCTGGACACTGCAGTCCCCGTCGTGAGGTCTCTTACACGCATGATGGCGTCCACCGTGGAACGCCCTCTGCGGAAGCCGAACTGGCCGTCCGACAGGTCCGGCCCAACATCCGACAGGTGCGCGACGAGGCGGTTCGAAATGATCCTTTCGAAAACTTTTCCCACCTCGTCGAGCAACACGATGGGCCGGTACGCAGACGGAGAGTCCGCAGGGCGCCCCGGCTTCTTCACTAGGACCAATTTACCCGCCTTCCACAATTGCGGGAACTGGCCCCTCTCCAAGCATGCGCTGTAGAGACCAATTAATCGAGGCTCGAGAGCCTCCGAGGCCAGGACCCACGCCTTGCCGTGCAGTCCGTCGGGTCCCGGGGCGGTGTTCTTGGCGCCCATCCGGCGCACCGCCGCTCTCAACTCGGCCTCGGTCACCTCCGAAACTGTGTCGCCGTCGTCTTCGCTGTGGCCCGCATAGGGCACCGCAGGGATGGCATTGACGCCTAAACTTAGGTTTTGAAAGAGGCATTTTAGGTACGTACCAATATCTATTAAATACTTTGCCATTTAAATAAGTTAAGCAAAACTCAAATAATAAATATCGCAATATGGGACTTTTTAAAGTAAATAAACAAGATAGAAGTGTCGATCGGTCCCCTGATACCTACCTTTAGTACCTAAGCTATTTGCTCGTCCGTAAGTCTAAGTCCTAAGTACGCGAACAAAATCATTTACGATACAATAAATTAGGATTTTCAATATCTTTAAATTACTGAAAGTTACTCCTAAAAGCCCTGATGTCTAGAAAACACTGAAAGAGCTTAACAGTAAACCCTTTGTACCCCAAGGGAGATCTCCTTTCTAGAAACGATTTGTCTAAAAACCCGAATTCGAATTTAGTATGCTTCAAGTGAAAATATTTATTCTCCAGAGGGATAAACCGAGATAGACGTATTAAAAAAAAGTATTCAGGTTACAAAGGTTATGTTAAAATACTGAGAAAAGCTCTACTAGTTTCGAACCACAGAGGGATCTCGTGAGCAGCGAACCTCTCAATTTCGAACCACAGAGGTTCGCTGGGAGTGCGCATATTGTGGGGACCAGGTACAATTTTATACTCCGTGTTGATACTGAGAGCTTCCGAAAACAGAATAACGATGCTTTCCTTGACCCCGGATTAAAATATAGATACTTACAGTTATAGACACATTAAATCACCCTGTACTAAGTCATAACACAACGCGTAACCGCGCGCGCCTCAAAGAGCCATCAGACCACCACTGATGGGGCCCAATAGCACAGATGCCGATGCGGAGCCGTGTAGGACTTAACGGGTTACCGGGGCTCCGGCTCGAAGTGCAGGAGTAGGAACGGGGTGGTTTTTAGTCAGTAAGAGTCGGACACCTCTCTCGCTTCACGGAGGGAGAAGTCATTGGATAATTATCCCCCTCAAAAAAACACAACGTATATTTATTAATACTTAATTAATAATACCAAACGAATTATTCAATTTAAGCAAAATCTTATTAAGTAAATAAAGGCGTAGGTACACAAACGTACGCCATTAACTAAATTGTAGCATATTCTGTATCTGTATATATCTATACAAACACAAATGTACATACAATGTATACAACTGCAAGTTGTATTTAATCTTAATTAAGATGTGTTTTCACTGACGCGACTTGCGATGGAGGAAAATTGTCGACGAGGCGACGACTCGACTTGTCTAACCTGTTTTGTGATTATAATCTTTTTTTTTATTTTAATTCATGTTTATAAATACTTGCACAAGTTTTTAAGTAACTTTTTACAATCTTATACTTATTATATAAAGCGGAAGAGTTTGTTTGTTTGTTTGTTTGAACGCGCTAATCTCCGTAACTACAAGTTTGATTTGAATAATTCTTTTTGTGTTGGATAGCGCATTTATCGAGGATGGCTATAGGCTATAAACCATCACGCTACGACCAATAGGAGCTGAGCAGAGCGTGTGAAACCGCGCGGAAGTAGCTAGTACCTATATAAAATGCAGGATCTGGTATGTTTTTGTGATAGTCGGTAGCAAGCGTTCTGTAGATATTGATTGCCTTCAAGAGAACTTTTTTTAAGGGGGGGAAATCATCGAATGGCTGGTTGCAGTTTTGAGGCATAACCAGGATTATGCCTATGAGACGACCATGGCTCCAATGACTTCCAAATCGGTGGTCTGCGAGCGATTATTATTTTACCTGCAGAGCTAAAAATACTAACAACATAAACAGATTGTTCATGAAATACGAAGGATTTTGATGAAAAATGCAGGTGGGACGCACTAATCAAGTAGAATATGTAAGTACTAAGTTCCTAAGCACCCGTGGAAACGTCCGCATTGCTATAAACTGGAAGTAATTACGAATTCACAAGTCATAACCCTCCAACGAGCGACCAGACGTAATAAATAAATTGTAACAAAACTCGTTTCTGAATGCCATCAAAATAATTCTAAAGGTCGTGCTTTTGCGTTTATAAAATAACAAAAATATTCATTTTATTAATACTCGAGAAGCAATGTATGGTAAAAAACAAGAACAGGTTGCAAAAGATTGTGCCGAGTACGTTCCATAACGTCATTCGATATTTTAAAATCAGACTTTGAGTAAACAAGTCGTGTCTTGTAATTCCTTTGTTCGGTTAGGGTAAGGATTTTTTTAGTGTTTAGTCGTGGCGTTGAGACGCCCCCTTTAATATGGGTCGTTTAGCGCGTGCGCGAACATTTTGACATAGGTTAGCACAGCACCTCAGCCTCTTTCAGTGTAGCAGTAGTGTTACTGAACACGCCCGTATCTCAGCGCTCCAGTGCATTATACTCACATACCTACAACTAATTCATCACACGATTTTTTTCTTAGGTAAGTCCTATTTTACGTAAATTTCTTCTATATGTACTTTTTCTGTGAAAACTATTTCTATCTGCTTGCTCAGACCTCGTTTTTATGAGATAAATATCAGACTATAACATTAAAATTCCCCACTAAATAATTCGACATACATATTATTCTAATCACTTATATCTTTGTCTATGAGTCTGGCAGTACGTATTATTATTTAAAACGTAAAGAAAATGTACTGAAAAGCTACAGGATTCGAGATAACATTATTAATTGACGGCTCACTATGACCTACTTAACACTGTTCCATTAACTGACAAATCATTATGATCTACGTGTCGATACACAATGTATAATATATAATCTTATATGTTGCTATACTCTTATATATTATGACATTACTTAGAAACAAACATTTATGTTTGAAATAGGTACCTATCTACTACCTTGCTATTTCATTTCAAATAAATAATGCATTAAACTGTCAAACACCAAGCGGTCACCGGTGACCGCAACCTATTGTTCTATAATTGTGTCTACAAAACCGGTACTCGACGAGTTAAGGCAAAAAGCGGGTTGCGGAGGGAGATCCAGTCAGTTCATGTGGCAAACTGACATTTAGTTGCATCTCATTGAGATTGATACATCAAAATCAACTGGGGAAAGACCAGTAACAATAAAAAGTAGTTAATAAGTATTTTGCGGAAGAACACTGCACTACAGAAAAAATTACAGCGTGTTAATTTGAGAAGCTGTTGGCTGGATAATATGATGTAGCTTCTTTGGTGATAGGGTAGCTCATTCTATCTTTCCTCTAGCTTTTTTCTTAATTAGTTTAGGAGTTAGCACTTATTCTTTACTCTTGACCAGAACCAGAATCTCATATAGTGAGTCTAACAGCCCTAACCCCTCCACTATCAGCGAAAGGGTGCATATTACTGCACTAGCTGTTGTCTACTACTTCGTCCGCATACAATATGGCTCCTGTTTTACCCCATGGGAGCATTCAATTGGGATAAATAGTATCCTATCACCTATGTCAGCCCATAACGTGCCTGTATACCAAAGTTCATCAAAATCTGTTCAGTAGTTTCAGCATATTTAACGGACAAACATCCAAATAAAGAAACTTTCATATTTATAATATTAATGTGATGTGTTTTGTTAGCCTTGTTATAACATTTTTGATGAGTTTGATAAACTGCAACGGCTGTCATAGAGAGGGTGCTCTTGATTTTAGGAAACCTTACCTACAGCTGTTGGAGAACACGTAAAAACATTTAGATATGGCCTTTATATATGACCGAGGCAGAAGGCTGTGGTGAAATGAACTATAAAATATTAGTTTATATTTCCTGAAGGGTGTAATAATAATAATTATAACCTGGGTGTCTTCAAGGCACGAGTGACTAGGTTGCTCATGGGAGGACGTCCTTCATCGTAGACCGCATCATAGCTTAACACTAGCTGAGACAGTGGTCAAACGCACGCCCATCAAATATAAAAAAAAGATAGTGACACCTATTTTGATATTGATTACAAATTTACACAACCAGAAGAAAAATAATAGAAATAGAAAGAATGTTTTAAACATCGATGACATTTGCTAAGTTAACTAATTTAAATTCCTATTCATTTTGGTATAAAGTATGAACTCAAAATGAAGACAGGTTCTATCTTATAGATTTTAATTCAACAAAAACTTGTTTATCAGTTGCATACGGGTCTAGAATTTTCTCTTTGGAACTTCAGCTTATTAGATTGCTTCTGATCTGTAGAACAGTGTTCTAAGCGAAGCTTTAGAGCATTGTTATCATGACAGCCACTGTTGTACTTAGATAAGAGCTACTTTTCGGATAAGCCGGTAAACGAGCACAAGGATCACCATCATGATGGTAAGCAATCGGCGTCGCCCATGGACACCTGAAACATCAGAGGCGTTACAAGTGCGTTACCGGTCTTTTGTGGATTGGGGATTTGAGGATTGTGGGGGATTCGGGGATTGGGGTGACTGCGGA